GTGTGTGTGTGTGTGTGTGTGTGTGTGTGTGTGTGTATGTAAATATATTTCACTTTGCTTGACCATTAAACAATTTCCCACATTACCGCAGTCCATTTTAAAGCTCTTTCTGGATTGTATTTACATATAGGTTTTTCTTTGCATGATACAGCTTTAACCAGCATTTGTGGTGGATGGCACATAGAACTCTTTACAGACAATTTAATTCAATTCAATTCAAAAATACTTTATTGATCCCAGAGGGAAATTAGGTGTTGTTGTAACTCATTTAACTAAAGAAGGATTTCTTTATAATGTCTACTGGGTTATTACAAGATAATTTTTAGCATTTTTTTTACTGAACCTGTGTTTAAAGTATGTGTCAATTCATGAACATATGTGGACTCTTTTTTCTCATAATCTACTTTGTAAGTTTTTGTTAAAGCAAATTACATGGATTGTATTCAATGTTATGTAAGAAGTTCAACTGCTGCCAAACTACTGGGACAAACACGCTGAGATGCCAAGTTCTTATCCACAGTGAACATCAGTCATCAGCTCACGTCACGACTCTCCCACCCCCAAAAACCTTAATTCAAGTAAATAGACATTGTCAAAAAAATGCAAGGTTGGATTAGTGTGATAAATACACGTCATGACTGTTGTTTTTAAAAGCATAAAAGGTGCTGTGATGCCCACCTTTAAATTCTGCAGAAAAAAATACAACTCAGACACAAGCTCTTACTGGCTGAGACCGCAGACAAGCCTCCAGTGAAATAACGTGCTGTTCAAGCAAACTTTTGATCCAACAAAGTAAATAATTACTTAATATTACAGTAAGTTTATGGCAGCTGGAAGAGACGAGGAAAAACCTGCTGACAGACTCAAAACTGCTCAGTGAAATTAATGGAAGCATACAAATATTTTGATCATTTTTTGTAAAGGTATTAAATAAATGTTTAGGTATTTAGACTCATAGATTGAATGAGAAGATTCATCTTCACAGAGTAAGAAATTGTTGTTTTCATGCCCTCTGAGCTAAATTGAACATTGACCGGTAGTCATTGAACTTTGATTTAAGCAGAAGTACACAGTGACGCCTGTACACAGGATGTCATAAAAAAACGTCAGCCAGAAAATTTATAAATACAGAGCAAAGAGATTCTTTTCGTCCCTGTGCACTTGGGCCCTTCATGGATTACAACCTCGCCCTTTAGATCTGGCACTGAAACAAATGTGAAGACCCTTAATTTGGAGCTAAACTAAACTATGTAAGTAATCGCAGCCACCTGTGGCTGGAAGAAAGAAATAAATGAATAGTACACGAGGTTAATGTTTATAACCTTAGTATGTGTTTATGCTGATGAGTGCCTCTCTGCTCAGTTACAGGAAACATGGTAGGACTTAAACCCTCAGATGTTCCTCCTTCCCTGGGCGTGAAGATGGCCAGTGCTGGAGCAGCAGCCTGTGTGGCTGACATCGTCACGTTTCCTCTGGACACAGCCAAAGTCAGACTACAGGTACCTTCAAAACATTCCGTTTGTGCATCAGAAACATCATCAGATTGTGCTGCAGTTGAACTGAACGAGAACACAGTGTGATGTTTGCACTACAGCTGCTTCACGTCCAGTTCTTTGTCCATCAGCCACCCTGAATCAATAGCGCCTATGAACCGGTTAAAGCTGCTTTTAAACGTGAGTGCAAATGTGCAGATACAGGGTGAGAAGAAAGCAGTGGAGGGCATCCGCTACAGAGGGGTGTTCGGGACCATCAGCACCATGGTCCGAACAGAGGGGCCCAAGTCTTTGTACAATGGGCTGGTAGCTGGACTGCAGAGGCAGGTGTGCTTCGCCTCCATCAGAATTGGCCTTTACGACAACGTCAAAAACCTCTACACTGGAGGGAAAGACAGTAAGTGGTTAAAGTACAAAAGAACATGCAGTTTATACATTCTGAATAAAAAAAGCAGCTGAAATAAAGCTAAAACTTTAAAAATCCAATGTCAAACATTGATTCGAAGTAAATCTACTGGTTGTTTCCGTCTGTTCTGCTCCAGACCCAGGTGTGCTGGTACGAATCCTGGCTGGCTGCACAACAGGTGCCATGGCAGTGTCCTTTGCTCAGCCCACAGATGTGGTCAAGGTTCGGTTCCAGGCCCAGATGAACCTGAACGGGGTGGCTCGACGTTACAGCGGCACAATGCAAGCATACAGGCACATCTTCCTAAACGAGGGCCTGAGAGGACTCTGGAAAGGTGCTTCCTGAGTGCAGATTCTAAGAATAACGCCGAGATAAAAGTTTTTTTGGCGGAAAAAAAAAACAAGTGTGTAATGTCTGTCCAGGAACGCTACCCAACATCACAAGGAACGCACTGGTCAACTGCACAGAGCTGGTTACCTATGACCTGATCAAAGAGGCCATTCTTAGACACAAGCTGATGTCAGGTAAAGGCATCTCAGAGAGGTGGCTTCTGATTGGACAAACGTCCACACTCCCACTAACCTCTTCAACAGCTGATAACATCACAGGTGCTGACAGAGATCAGAACAGGTTGCACCCACATCACAGTGCAGTAAATACTTTATCTATCACAATCATTTATATTGCTTCATCCTATAGATTACATATCTGCTCAAGGGCGTAACTTTAAGTCTACCGTTGGGGGGGGTGGGTTTATGCTCCAAAATCCTGCATGGCATTTTTAGCAATTATGCTTAAACATACATTTATGACATGGTAATTTTTTTAATCAGGTTAAAGTTACCTAAAGACAACAAGAGAGCAGCATCTGTCTACTTTACCAATTAATTTCTATTGTGTTTGAGCAAATAATGCCAATTTGTTGGCGGGTGGGGGGTATTTTAACTGGATCAAATTATAGTGGGGTCATAACCCCACTAACCCTCCTGCAAATTACGCCTATGTATCAGCTGACACAGTTCTCTGGTGCTGGCTCACATCTGTCTTATCTGTCCACAGACAACCTGCCGTGTCACTTTGTGTCTGCGTTCGGCGCGGGCTTCGCGACCACAGTGATCGCTTCACCAGTAGATGTGGTGAAAACAAGATACATGAACTCCCCACCGGGCCAGTACAGGAGTGCTATTAACTGTGCCTGGACCATGATGACCAAAGAGGGACCTACTGCCTTCTACAAAGGGTGAGCTTTTTCCTCAACTGGCCTATGAAACTTAAACGCAGCTTTCTGATTTGGTTTTTCTTTGGTCTTTAGATTTGTGCCCTCATTTCTGAGGTTGGGATCGTGGAACGTTGTGATGTTCGTCTCGTTTGAGCAAATCAAGAGAGCCATGATGGCCACGAAGAAGAGGATTGAGGCGACAAACTGAGCTCCCAGAGCAAAAGTCTGACTGTTAAGACCACTATGTTTTACATCTGAGGGGAAAACTTATGTAAATTCTAATTTTAGATTTTTTTTATTGTATTTAACTGTATATGTGTACGAGACACCATTTTATTTTTATATTTAGAATTCATGAAGCCAGTAAGATCACTGTGAAAGCAAAAGTATTGTCAAAGTTGACTTTGCACTTTAAGACCTGTACAGCCATTCATACCAGTGATGCAGCCTAACCAGTGCACATGTGCGCTAAAAGAAACATTTGCAAACTTGGGCGTGAAACATGTTTCTGTAAATCCTAAATATATTTGATTTGTTTTACAAATGCTCTGCTTGTTTCTTCACTTTTCCTTTGGACACACAAACACAAAACACCTTTCAAGTCAAACGTTGATTTATAGACTTTGACGTGTCTTCCTTTAAATTACATCTCATAAAAATATTTAAAATTCTGTATCACAGCACATATAAATTCAAGAAAGCTGGGGTAAGGAACTATGTTTGGATTTCACATCACAAATATACAATATATTCATGTGTGAAGACTAATTAAATTGTGTACAACTTCCAAGTTGAGAATACAACAGAGGAGATTTAGAGTTAGGTTTAAGTCATGAGATCTTTACATAAATAATATGTTCCTGTGCAGGAAAACTGTGAGAACAAAGTACATGGAAATTAGCACAAGACAGTTAAAGCAGAGTTTTCTTCTGCACAAGTTACTCCAAAGTGCTTAGAGCTTCGTGAATCTGTAGCACCACTATCGTCTTCTCGCACTTCTCCATCGTAAACAAAAACCACTGGAATGGTCATTTTTGAGGTATGGGGAGTTGGACTTTGTGCTGCATGTGGAAAATTATCACCATCGCTAATGAAACACAAACAATTTAACTTTTTTTAGTTTGTATGCTTGTTTGAAATGTACTGTCACATTCAGCCAAACCATCCGATTCCTGGCAGACAAATTAGGTGATCGGGGGGTTTAAAAAAATGGTGAAAACACATTAATAAGAGCCAACAGTCAGTGTGAGAGACACATCGGGGTCCTGGAGATGAGTTTTGACTTTGTCGTGGAATTTTTCTCTGTACTGATTGAACAGCATGATGCTCTCTGGTTGTTCAGCGACCCAGAACTGATCAAACTCATACGCCAGGTAACCTGCAGAAGGGAAACGCACGTTGAGGAAGGTTTCTACAGAGAGAATAAAACTTGTAGAACAGAGGGATAATGAGACTTTTGGGACTCACAGTACAGCTGGTGGAAGTGCTTGAGCTCAGGCGTGCCTTGGACCGTATTGTAGAAATGTGGTTTCAAAGCTCCACACTTCAGTAAGCTGTAGGCCATCTCTGTCAGGTTGATCCCAACTATGGCATATGAATAGCTGCAACATATGCAATCCACACACAAATAGTAAGATAGAATCATACATTTCTGATGTAAAGCCAAGTTAAAACATCTGAATGTCTCTTACCCTAGTTTAGGATGATTTGCATGTGACAACACCTGACGAGCTTCTGCTGTGTAGTTTTCACTGAAAAATCTGCAAACAAACATTTCAAGGCTGTGTTGAAGAGCTGAGCAACATGGCTTAAAATGCATCATGTTATAAGTGTTTCAGATCAGTTGATAAATAATTACTCATTAGTTTTTGTTTAACAGATTTAAAAAAAAAACAGGTGAAAAAAGGCTGATTAATCCTGCTAAACTGGTGACCTTTCCTCTCTTATCCACAATTTCGTCTTGAGCTGTTGCACTCATTTTCTCCTTTCACTCCACATTGCTATTTTTTTCTTTATGAGGCACGTTGGTGAAACATGAACCTGATACTGTGCATGTTCCTCAACAGGTTGTTGCTAGCTTACCAAAGAGTGAGCTGACGCCACCAACCTTGCTTAGCTGGTCGAGCAGCTAAAACGTTTCCTCTGCCTACATCCCCCAGAATGCCGTGCGGTTTTAGATCAGAGTTCATTGAAATAATCGACTTTCTTTTTGACAAATTTTCCATATATTGATCACGTGTCTATTGTGATGTACATTGTTATTGAATTACTGCCCAGCCCTGCTGTGTAGGAACCTTAATTCTCTGTAAATCTCATGATTCATATTTATGCAGTCCTCACACAAGATTGATCAGACCCAGAAGGCCCATTCCTCTGAAGTCCGTTTTTGGGTCATCTCCTTGGAATCCAATGTCTCCCCACTGCTTAGTTATTCTGCACTCCAGTTTCACTTCTGGCATCAACAAGCCCCACAGCTGAAAAGAAAAAGAAAAAAAAACATTTTTACTGTTTCTGTACACTTTTCAATTATTTACCAGCTAACACTGATAAAACTAGTATGTTTAAAGTCTAAAATAACATGGATAAAAGCAACGCTCTGCAAAACAAGGAGTTTTTTGTCGCTCATATTGGTCAAATTTTGTCTAAACGTTTGGACCCTGTAACCTTTAAAAGCATGGCCTCGTGCTCAGGGTTCTCTGAGCTGAAGACCTCCTTCCTCAACTCTTCTACAGATGTGTACAAGCTGCTGTATCCAGTTATCTGCAGCAGACAGATGTGAAGGCTCCCCTTGAATCTGAAATAAAATGGAGATAGAAACAAGTCGCTGATAAATCAGAGGAACAACAAAATTTGCCATGAGCAACAATTTCAAAGCAGAAAAGCAATCTTACAGGGGATCTTTCTGGGGTTTTATATTCTTCGCCTTCATAATCTGATCTACACATTGTTCCACGTGGTCCCTGCTGGTTTTCAAGGCTCCTCTTAAAACCTAGGGACGGGAGAACACACAGTGTTTGGAGAATGTAACAACAATATGGTGTCAAACAAACAATTAGGCACAACTGCTGACTTGGACAAATAATACGCAAAAAAAAAAAAAAAAAGAAATGCTTTTCAAACAAGACGAACAATGAACCACCAGTTTTGACTGAACACTAAATGGGCTGGTGATCGCAGAATTCCTGCTGAGATATAATTATAAACAACAAAAAGAATCATTTTATCTCAGCTTGGCAAGTGTGGTTAAAGATAATGGCTGATGAAGCACAGAGGAAATGCTGATATTTCAGTTCACATGAGCCAATCAAGATAACTGAGGTCAAAGTAAAGCAAACGTGTCTATTTCAGACAAGCTAAGACAACATAAATCCAGTTACAACTTGCCTGAGCTGCAATTAGAAGAATTTTCTGTTCATCTTAGGAATACATTTGATTGCATGTTTTTAAATTTTTTTTTTCTTTTCGTAAAAGGAAATAAGTTTTGTAGATCAACAAAGAATACAAAAATGTTTTGGGCAATCCTTAAAGCTTAACCTCAAATGTGTCTCAAAAGAGCAGAAGAACGAAGTATAATCAGCGACTCCTTATTACAAAAATTTGATGGTTTTACTAATCTTTGATTTCTGTGTATCAGAAGACACTAATGAAGAAATCTGTGGGATTACAGATTAGTTTTTTTTCATAAACCGTATAAAGAGTAGCTCAACTAACCCAATAATTCACAATAGCTGTGAGATTAACTAGGATATATGAGACCAAACCAACTTAACACCACTGTCTTACCTTATTCTTAGATGCCTGAAGAGAGTTTTCTAGAGGAGGACACATGAGGCAGATCAGTACAGTAAACACAATGTACACAACGATGAGAAGCAAACCACATGTTGGGATACCTGGGACTCACCTGCTCTTGTTGTCCTTGATGCTCCTGGTGTATAATCTGAGCAAATTCTCTGCAGCTCACACTTTCCTGTCACCTGCCTGATGAACCACTTTAGCCAGTATCTCAGGAAGTTTGTGTACACATACTGCCAGATAGAACCAAACATTTCTAAAATACAGAGATGAACATATAAAAAGAGCAATATTAGAAAATAATATAGTTGTCTGATATGATTAAATATTATAGGGTCACTAATAATTACAAATACGTAACCTATAATCGGATAATCTCTGTATGAATGATACAAACATGCCAACAAACACAGCCAAAACAAATGCACCGCTAGCATCATTGCTAATATGCTAACTTTAATTTAAAAGTGGTCGTTCTTTTTACTTACAAACATCCTGCAAGTGAAGCTTTAATACGCATCACATGATGATTTTAGCAAATGTATAGCTGGCAGGCTTTAATTTAAAATGCGCTTCAAAACTCACATGACAATTCAAACAGGTTGTTCCTCGTCTGCTAGCTAGCTACACTGACTGTCAGGGTTTGGTTACGCTGCAGGAACAAGCGTCTGACAGTATTTTTGATGAGGAACCAAATGAGGCACGACTTATTTATTTGTAGCTGGGAAATATGTTGCTAGGCTAAAACACTTACCTCCACTCTCGGATGAAACTACCTTACAGTGAGGCGAGGTAAGGGATAAACACAATGACAACACACGGCTCGGGCTCAGATGAGTTCATGTTCATTCCAGACAAATATCTCGTCACGCGTGCGCCAACAGATAGATTAATAAAATTTAATTAGATAAATAAATCCCGCAGTAATATTTGCGTATATATGTTTTTAAGATATATAAATGTATATTTAAAGGACATAGTCTATCATACAAAAGAGATCAGGCTGAATTTCCTTTTGAGTTTAAATAATACGATGTTTCTGAACACAGCATTTTGAATAAACTCACGCTGCTCTATCGCCATCTAGCGTTTATATACAGTAACGCTGTCTGCAACACAGACACAGAGCCCTGGGCTATTCTTAGAAATTTGACTCAAAATGACGCATTAAAATACATTCAGATTGCCCATATTATGACATGAAAACATCATAAATTGTATTATTTGCAAAAAAATCAGAAACGGGCTAATAAATAAATGTGTGTCCTGAAGCCAGTGGTTATTGCTTTTTCATTGGTTGAAAGAACATTTTTCATATACAGTATATTCATTTTGCCTCTAAATCAATGAAATGCAGTAACATTCATTGTTCCTGAGAAACACTTAAAACATCAACAAGCTCATCAGAACATATAAAACATCTTTTTTAGCCAAATGTCTTTCTGGGGTTTCTTGTCTTTTCAAACACTACCACAAGATGGCGCCAGATTTGCATGACATTTTGATTTTGAATAATCTTGCTGGATAGACCGGCTCTCTTTCTAAGTCTGTCATCTAAATAAATCCCTTTTTAAAAATGTGGCAGGTCACCACATGTGTACTCTCCCTCAACTCTTGTTGCTTACAAAACCTTCCCTCAAGCAGTGGTTTGGTTTGCAAACAATACAGCCAAGTCCTCAGATGGTAACCAGTGCACTGTTAAAAATATCCGTATATTTAACAGCGATAAACAGTAAAACCATGACAGGGAAAACCTGTAAACAATAAAACAGTTTAAAACTGTTGATTTGATGGGAAATTGCCGTAAAAAAAATTATTGGTGTAAACAGTAATTTGTACATTTTTTCTCTGAAAAAAATACATTACCCTACTGTAAAGC